CCTTCATCAGAAAAGCTTTTCTGATGAAGGGTCTAGGCCCGAAACGTCAGCCTTTCTGCTCCTATGATGCTGCTTGGCCTGCTGTGTTCATCCAGCCCCGCACCTTGCTGTCAGATTTTTGTTAGCTGACGCTGTTAAGACTGATTGAACATGACAGCTGAATACAGATGAGCCATGATCTCATTGAATCGCAGGGCAGATGTGAAGGGTTGAATGGCCTGCTGCTGTTCTGAACTTCATGCCTTAAAAATGGACAGTTACAAAAGAAAATCTGCATAATTTTGCAATACCATTTTGGGCCAAAGGAGGTCGCAATGGTCACTGCATGGGTACTGCATCTGCCAGCAAAAGTCTAATTGCTTCAACAACATTTCAAACAATATCATAAATTTAGGGGAGGAGTAAGTTATCTTAATATTCTTTACAGTAATATATGGGGAATACCTCAAGATCACAATAGAAGGAGACATGCCATGTGCACTCTGATGTGCAAAAATATGTGAATTACTTACATATTTATACCACAGTTTTAGGGGTTGGTAACCTGGCAGACCATTTTTTAAAAGAAATATTTTATTTAATGGTACAAAGGGTTTAAACGCATACCCAGAAAAATCTCTGTGCCTAACTGCTGGACATACTACTGGTGAGAGGTGTACCTGAATAGTGAGGCCCAAGTTCCTTTAAGAATTAGGGTGGCACAGTGGCTCAGCGATTAACATTGCTACCTCACAGTGCTAGGAACCTGGGTTCAATTCCAGCCTCAGGCGACTATTCTCCCCAGTTTCTGCACAGGTTTCCTCTGGGTGCTCCAGTTTCTTCCCACAATACAAAGATGTGCAGGTTAGGTGGATTGGCTATGAGAATAGGGTAAGGGGTTTGCTTTGGGCAAGATGCTCATTGGAGGGTTCATGCAGACTCGATGGACTGATTGGCCTCTTTCTGCACTATAAGAATTCAATGATTTGGGCATTAGTAGAATGGAGCCTACTTCAATGCGTACTGCAAAATTCAGTCACAGTGACCATTGGGTATGTGGGAGCAAGTGCCAAGGCTGAGGGTGGGAGTGTGGACTCCTATTCTTCCTGGATCCATATTCGGCAAAGTAGCTTACCTTCTTGTTTGGGTTCAGCCTACCACAGGCAATCTCCTTCAGTGCAGCTGACATAGACACGACTACCTCAGGACAAATATTCAAAGAGAAGCCTTCAGTCAGACAAAAGGCACTTATATAGAATCAAATGCCTGCCTCCAGTTAGGGTAGGGGACACATATCTTTAGCCGAAATTGCGATCTAGCAATTTCTGGTCAGGAGTGTGCATGCACTTTCTGCCTACCATTTGTGGTCTTAGCATTCTTTGTAACACCCAAAAATGGGTGCAATCTGGGCTAATTTTAAGCCAGCAAGTCATGCCCAATAGGCAGTAGTACTCCGTGTATGGCTGGCTGTAACTAGTTCCCAGGCTGGTCATTCTTGAATTTTCTGGTGAGCTGTTGCCTTGAAATATTTACCTTCTCTTAGTTCTATCATATATTTTCTATAAAAAACAAATACATAGATGACACTTATACAACCTCCTGATGTCAGATAACCAGCCCATCACAAGCTTCTTGTACACATAAAAAAGAACTGCGAATCCTTGACATCTAAGGTTGAATTTACAGTCAAACGTACACTTTGAAGCACTTTAACTATGTCTTGTGTAAATTCAGTCTCAAGACTCAAAATGACTGAAATGAACTGCCGTGGGATATCTTATGTTAGGTCAGGTTTTACCTCTATATTTAAGTTGCATTTACAGAAGAACTGCAGCCTTCGTGTAAACACATCTGAAATAAAAACAGAGTTCAAAATGCACAGCAGACCAACTTTCATAACAGGTGATAGCCAGACGTCAACTCACATTTCTCCTTTCAGATGTTGACATGCACTATACCTATTTTAAGTTTCTATACTCAAGTTGTTAGTGTGTTTATAATACATAAATATAAAAAGTATTTATCACAGATTTGCATTGAATCCATCATTAAAATAAACACTACTTTTCCCTGACTAATTATATGCCATGTTGAACTCACTGAACTGTCAAATAAAGACAATTCAAAAAATTTCAATCACTGTCTTCTTTAGCACTTCAGACTTGCAGTGCTGAAGCATTAGCAGGGTCTTGCATCCTGTCCACATTGTCTCTGCATTAGATAGAAATACCAGCCACTTTCACATTTGATATTTTGCTCTGGTTGGGCATTAGGCAATCTGGGTATAAATGGATCTACTTCAGTGTGTGGTTGGCTAATGCTGTTATGTCATTTAATTCACCCACACATAAACTCAGTATGCACTGAATTTAAAAGAAATACATTTCTGACATTATTGCTCGATGTCTCTGTTTTCTTTCAGCCACTGCTTACTGCATATTCCATATCATACAGGAGCACCACACGCTGAACACCCATATAAAATGTCTAGTGGACCATGTGTACACCTTCTATCGTTCAACTTCTTACAAATATGCGATAGTTCCCAGTGTTTTAATCAGAAAATTGCCTAACTCCACTATCACATAGGACCATAGGAATATAGGAACAGGAACAAGTGATTCATGCCATTCAGACTGTTCTGGCATTCAACTAGATCATGGTAGACTTGCATTTTAACTACATTTACGTGCATTATAGAAACATAGGGAATAGGAACATAAGTAGGCTTTTCAGCCCTTCGAGCCTGCTCCATCGTTCATCATAATCATATTGACCCTTCTGAGGAAGGGTCACCGGGTCTGAAAAGTTAACTCTGATTTTTCTTCATAGATCTGCTGAGCTTTTCCAGCAACTTCTGTTTGTGATCCTGATTTACAGTATCCACAGTTCTTTCGGCTTCAATATAATCATAGCTGATCATCCTACTCAGTACCTTGTTCCTACTTTTGCTCCATGATCTTTACTCCTTTTAGCCCTCAGAAGTATATCTATCTCCTTCTTGAAGACAATTAGCTCCATGTCCAACAATGCTGTCTCCCGACAAAAATATATGAATCTTAATTTTGAAATTTCCAATCGACCTAGCCTCAACAATATTTTAGGGGAAAACGTTCCAGATTTTTATCTGATGTCACCCTGAATAGCCCAGCTCTAATTTTAAGCCTGTTTTTTCTGGGCTACCCCACTGGAGGAAATAATCTCTCTCCATCTGCCCTCTTAAATCCTTAATCAGTTTTTAACTTCAGTCAGGTCACACCTAAATATTCTATACCCAAATAACCAACAGTCTCTGCAACCTATTTTCATAATTGAATTATTTTAGTTAGAGTATTTTGGTGAGTTTGCACTGCATCGTCTCAAAGGCTAATACATAATTCTTGAGCTATGCTGTACAGAACTGAATACTGAACACCGCAATTGAAAGTCATACATAAGAGGCTGTTTCAGTTAAAATGATCTCCTTTGGATACGCACTTGTGAATTTTATAACATCATTCAAATAACAAAGTTTTTGTTCCTTACTGTACACCCTTATATATATGTGTGTGTGTGTGCGTGTGTGTGTATTTAAGATACTTCAGATATTCAACCTAATGATGTGCAGGAGCTGCCCTACCAACCCTCAATATTCATACACACACGAGAAAGGGAAATGGAAAATGAAAGGAAACTAAAATGAAAGGAGTGCTTACTTCTGACTATCTACTTTCTGACCAGCAGCTTTCATTAGTGTTTCATGGAGACTAGCAGCTTTTGGTGAACCTTTTGGGCTCGTGTCAGATTCACCACTTTCTTCATCTCCCATTGCTTTAATGTAGCTGCCACTTCTCATCCTTCGGCAAGGGATCTCCTCATCTTTGCTTCCCAGTGGATATCCTCCCCATTCATCCTGGGGGACCTGGAACATTCAAAATACAATGTATGAACAACAGTTAATAATCTCTCTATCATCATCCAGATACAGGACAATGCAACACAATTCCAAGTTCCTTAAACTTGGCAATTTCTTGCTCATTGCCAGCAGACCAGTTTGTCACATACTACAGGCCTTACCTCTTCACCAGAGGTTTGATAAACTTAGCATGGAAACATTTTCTAATGTTGCAAAATGAAGAAGAATATGCAAGCTGTGTGGTCATATCAAGGATGGCAGTAGGGATGTTGAGTAATTAAAATATAAAAAATTCTGGATTGCAGCAAAATGAACTAACAGATTTAACAAAAAGGAAAAAAAAACTCAGTATTTCTCTGCAAAACATAAACTCTAAATTGTCACCTACCACCAGTTAGTAATTCATGTGATTTTTTTATTAGTGAATATTGGAAATTTGAACATTCAACAGTCAACTTTGAAAACATAGCAGATACACCATCATGAGAAAGGAATAAAAAAAGTATTGCATATATTGTATTTGAAATTGGATATGAGCCAAGTCACTGAATTGAAATAAATGTAATGTAATGACATTTTACATAAGAATCTGTGGCACATTTTATTTATTTCATACTCAGTAACTTCTCTGTATTGGATCTTTAGGATTTTAATATAGTACTGTAGAAAGTAAGGGAGCCAATGTTATTTCAAAACGCGGACACAATTTGTTCCACCACTCAGAATCAGCATGAATTTATGAAGGGGAAATCATGCTTGACAAATCTGTTGGAATTCTATGAAGATGTAACTAGCAGAGTTGACAAGGGGAAGCTAGCCAATGTAGTATATTTGGACTTTAAGAAAGTGTTTGACAAAGTCCCACAGAAGACATTAATGTGCAAGATCAAGCGCATGGATATGGGGGAAGTGTATTGACATGGATAGGAAACTGGTTGGCAGAGAGGAAACAAAGTGTAGGAATTAATGGGTCCTTTTCAAATTGGCAGGCAGTAACTAGTCGGGTGCCACAGGAATCAGTGCTGAGACCCCAGCTATTCACGATATATGTTATTGATTTGGAAGAGGGAACAAAACGTAACATGTCCAAGTTCGCAGATGATACCAAGTTGGGTTGGAGGGTGAACTATGACGAGGATGCAGAGATCCTCCAGCATGATCTCGACAGGTTGGGTAAGTGGGCAAATCAATGGCAGATACAGTATAATTTGGATAAATGTGAGGTTATTCACTTCGGAATCAAAAACAAGAAGGCAGATTACTACCTGAATGGCTGTAAATTGGGAGAGGGGAGTGTGCAGCGGGACCTGGGTGTCCTTGTGCACCAGTTGCTGAAGGTAAGCACGCAGGTGCAGCAGGCGGTAAAGAAGGCAAATGGTATGTTGGTCTTCATTGCGAGAGGTTTCGAGTACAGGAGCAGGGACATGTTTTCGCAGTTGTACAGGGCCTTGGTGAGGCCATACCTGGAATATTGTGTGCAGTTTTGGTCTCCTTTTCTGAGGAAGGATGCTGTTGCTCTCAAGGGAGTGCAGCGAAGGTTTACCAGGCTGATTCCAGGGATGATGGGTCTGAAGAGAGATTGACTAGGTTCGGATTGTTTTCGCTGGAGTTCAGATGAATGAGGGGGGATCTCATAGAATTTGATAAGTCTAACAGGACTGGACAGAGTAGATACAGGGAAGATGTTCCCAATGGTGGGTGTGTTCAGAACCAGGGGTCACAGTATGAAGATTCGGGGCAGATGATTTAGGACAGAGATGAGAAGACACGTCTTTACCCAAAGAGTGGTGAGCCTGTGGAATTCATTACCACAGGAAGTAGTTAATGCCAAAATATTGAATGTATTCAAGAAGTGACTAGATATAGCACTTGGAGTGAATGGGATCAAAGGTTATGGGGAGAAAGCAGGATTAGGCGATTGAGTTGGATGAACAGCCATGATCATGAAGAATGGTGAAACAGGATTGAAGGGCCAAATGGCCTCCTCCTGCTCCTATCTTCTATGTTTCTATGTTTCTATATCACTATTTTCTTCCCTTTTTTTTATCTGTAGTACGATTGGTGTTGAGATACAGCAAAACCCGAAGTGACATTTCCCAAATTAATTACGATAGCAGACTGATACTCTAAATAATTAAACTCCTGGGCAATGAGAGATAATTCTTTATACACCTTCTGCCTCAGCTGGTTAATTTTAAAGGGATCCTTCCCTTGTGGATGTCTTTCTCTCACACCTAATGGAACTTATGTTTCAAAAGGAGCCAATTTAACAAGGCTTTCTTGAGTGTGAGTTTATTGGTTAATAAATGTGAAAGGATTAATAACACAACATACACACACACAAGGAGATAGCGAGAACTGCAGATGTTGGAATCAGAGTCACTGCAGTGTGGAGCTGAAGGGAACCCAACAGGTCAGGCAGCATCAAAGGAGCAGGAAAGTCTTGATGAAGGGTGTAAACCCAAAATGTCAACTTTCCTGCTCCTCTGATGCTGCCTGATCTGTTGTGTTCCTCCAGTTCCACACTGTCTTGACTGATACATACACATAAATTAGGAATAAGGTGTGAGCTCAGAAGAAAAGTTAGAAGAGATATAGGTCAGTCTCTCTGGATCATCCATGAAACATAATAGTGCAGTGTTGAGATTTGGACAGTTGTTTTCAGGTTTCTTGGACTTTTGTGGGTGAGTTGAAATCCTTTTGTCCTGTTTCCGTTTGATGGTGGGTGTTGGTCGCGCTCAAAACGAGAGAGCCCTTCTTGTCCTGTTTCTTTTGACTGGCTTTCTCGCTGGTTCGCTTGCTGCACTCAGAGCAGGAAACATTTTATTTACAATAAAGGAATGACCAGTGGATGGTTCTTCAAATGTTATCTTCACAGCGCTCAAAGTTCAGTTCACCAGCACATGTTCTTCTAGTACTACAACTTCTTTCACCAGTACACACAAACCATGGTAATAGTCAGTTTCTAATCCCTTTCTATGATTATTCTTGGAGGGATAAAACACAAAAATGTCTGCAAGAAGTGGTTTCTTGCTGAGAGGGGCCATGGAGGAAATAATTCACCTTATTGTCATCTCTTCTTGTTGTGTTTCTCTGTCTCTGAAGTTTCCCTGAAATTCTACAGGTGTGACATTGCATAGACCCCACAGAGAACTTCACCAGACAGCATTGTAGACTTTATTTGCCTGTAACAGTGCCTTTTGAAAAAACACATTTTGGAATTTAGAATTTTTTTAAAAAGTTCATAGTACTCTGGTGTACATATATCATCAAGACACTTATCCCACATGAAATTAGAATTAAATTAGATGTGTTCGCATTTCATTACAAATGTAAAAAAAAGTAAAAATTTAAAACATCAAACAAATTCACACCAACACAATTTCTTTCTCTTTACCTCAGCTAATATATTTCCAGTTTTAACTGGATCTCTAAGTTCTGCTCATCTGCAGTAACATTCAATTTCCCAGCAACGTTAAGTAGTATGGTTGAAGGGCCAAACTCCAACAGAATAACTTTGCATTCTGGGTATTTCACAAAAGTTAACAAGTTGTGGTCAGGATACTATTAAAAAGCAAGGAAGCTGATTTTGTTTCAAATTATCAAAAGATACCCAAAACATAGGGCTGAAGAATTTGTGACAATCTTTAGCGAGAAGTACTGAATGAATGATCCATCTTAGCCTCCTCCAAGAGATTCCTGGAAATACAGATACTAGTCTTTGACTTATAAACAACTCAAAATTTCCTCTATATAAGTTCTGGAAATGGCTGAGGGCATTGGATATTGCAAAGGATATGACCCTGACACTACTCCACAGTGGCACGGAAGACTTGGATTCGAGAAACTACTGTTCCACCAGACAATCTATTGCAGCAAACTATAACACTGGCATATATCTGATGATGCAGAAAATTTCCCTCATAAGTCCTGTACTCAAAAATCTCGATCAAATCTAACAAAGGCAATTAATGCCCCACAGTCTACCCTCAATCATCAATAAAGTGATGGAAGAAGTCATCAACAGTGGCATCAAGCTGCACTTGTTTAACAGTAACCTCTCGCTAAGGCCCAATTTTGGTTCTGCCGGGAATGTTTCAGTAGGATGTTGTCCTGATACACTACACAGTGAGAAAAATTCTACTATCTGGTTCATCAGTCTTTGAAAGGTGACTGGGAAATTTCACAGCAAAAATGGCATGACTTGACACTGGTATAACCTATCTGGAATTATGGAGGTAGAGATTTCCTTCAAACAGGCAGCTCAGGCACCTACCTGTGTCCTTGAATAAATTTATTTTGGTATGGTAGACTGCTTTACTTGCTGTATCAATGCAATCTTCGAGCCAAGGTATTGGTTAAGAGCTGGATTTAGCCACTGCATTAACTTCTAAGTTGTGAATGCAGACCCTGGTGGAGCTGTCCAGCTTGTCACAAGCACAAGGGGGTAGCTTCATTTACTGCTGCTTGTCTCCATTAGTTGGGCCTCCAACATGAGTTAATTGCCTCCTGAAGCTGGACTAGCTTTACTGCACCTAACCAACAAAAATATTGCCTAATGGGACAGGTCTCTCCCACATCCTATAGAGCTAAACTGGTAAAGCTTGGTTTGTCTCTGCATGAATCCTCAAATGCATGCAGTGGGCAACCTCGTTAGACTATTATTCACACAGGGTGGATTAAGTAGGAGTTTACGCTTCCTTGTATCTAAGTATTGGTTAGGAGGGTAGTAAGAGGTTCATTGTGGGCCTCTCACATCTCTCTCCAATTCATTCAATAACTTTTCTCAGTTGCTAGATTGATGGCAATGGGTCAGATCATTACCTACTTGTTTCCTCCTCAAGGGTGATTTTGCTTCATCAAA